GATTTAATACAAATAAAATTTTGTCACTTAATTGATTTATGTTATCTTCAACATCCCGATTCCAGACTTTTTCAGGCGGAATGTCCGGGAATCACTCCGTCCACTCGACAGGGTGGAGCAAAAGATTATTTATACTTCTCGTTTTTTCTTTATTATATGCACTATTCTTGTCACTGCTACAAGTGGTTTTTTTTTATTTAGTATTTTATATTTTCATATATTTATATAAAATATGTGTGTGTGTGTGTGTGTGTGTGTGTGTGTGTGTGTGTGTGTGTGTGTGTGTGTGTGTGTGTGTGTGTGTGCTTTCGCGCGCATGCGCCATTATGGCCGTCTATTCGTATATACGTAGGATGGCGTGGTTATGTTTCCTTTTCGCCGTTTTTTCACTTTACATTCTCTCCTTATTGGTTTGCTTCCTTTTTCTCTCCTTTTTCTCTTTTTCCTTTTTCTTTTTCTCTTCCTTCAGATGCAACCACACACACACACACACACACACACACACACACACACATATATATATATATATATATATATATATATATATATATATATATATATATATATATATATATATATGGTTGTGACGTCTACAGACGAGAGTAATAAGATCGGCAAGATAGGCGTTTCCGTTCACTAATGCCCTTGTGAAAAACACGTATTTATCGCAAGTTATGAATAAATAGCGTGGAAGTATGAACTTTTTAAATTTGGTTGTGCAAGTTGTCTACGAGAAACTAAACTCTGAACTTAAGTCCCCAATCCCCGTCGCAGCAGATCATGAGTTAGCATCAGGCTCATTACTTTCCCTGTCTGAGAGAAGTTGGCGAAAGCGTTAGTCTTTCAATAATAATAATAATAATTCGTTAGTGTACATTCTTGTGTCGGTATCATCTTTTGACAAATACATAAAAAGTGTAAAAATTTGTTTTTGACGCGTATATGGCGGTTGACCAAATTCTGTAAAACTGTCGACAGAGATTGAACCTGTTATTATTAGATTGCAAAACTGCAACATTAAATACTGAATCACTATAACCGATCCTGCTCACAAATTTAAAAAACTGTCTTTTAAGCAGGGTAAGATAGGGGACACAGAAAGAGAATCATACAATGAAAGTGTAAACCTATGAATGAATATATAAGCACCTAAGCAATAGTGCGGGATGTAGACGAACGTATGAATGAAATAAAACGAGAAGCAAAGAGGAAGGGGTATATGAATGAATGAATGAATGAATGAATGAGTAATGTACCAGTGAACGTTATGAATGAATCTTGATGCGTAAAAAGATTACATTCGATTAATAAATGAATGAAGGAATTCGCATTCAGAGAAATATATATATATATATATATATATATATATATATATATATATATATATATATATATATATATATATTTAATCTTTTTAATGAAGTTGCGTTTAACTACAGATAAATAAGGATTTTATAATTATATTCAAGTATCTATTTATATGTTAGTGAATACAGATTTAACAGTTTTTATTTTTATTTTCAGAACGATATGTATTAAATTAATAAATAGAAAATTAATATTTATATTAAGAGCTATTAAAACTTATTTTACGATCAGTATAACTATAAAATTAATAGCATAATTATTTTTTTATTAGTGGAAACGTTGTCAACCACTATTATTATTATTATTATTATTATTATTATTATTGTTGTTGTTGTTGTTGTTGTTATGCGAGTTATAATCTTTTCTGATTCCCAAATCACCTCCGGAGTCTATGAGTAAAAAGGTCACTTTAGGAGTGTTATCTATGTTAGGGATATATTTGGGAGGTTTCCTTTAGTTGGAAAGGGTTTTGCCGGTAAGATGTGCAGTTCCTAAACAAAGTAATCTTTTGTGTCTTTGAGATGCTGATGTGCCCAGGGATTTTATTTACATGATTTTCGGTACCCTTTCTTTATCATAACCAATGCTCCGATCACAAAAAGCGATAATCGTAGTTTGAAGTTTCCACATTTTTCTTACTTCGACTTTTAAGTCCTTTTAATTTGACAGTTTTTGAAATTCTTCTTTAGAAATATTCGAATCCTGTGGGCAAGTCATATCACTTAGTTAGTTGGTGCCTTTTTTGAAAACTTTGTATGACTTTACATCAACATTCCCGTCCGTGTGGATTGGGAAATCCCACCGTATGGTCACTTTATAACATTTTTGCGCCATCTTTCGGCTGGTGTATCCGGTACTTCAATACTATAATTTGAACAGACACGCCAATGAATATATTATTATTATTATTATTATTATTATTATTATTATTATTATTATTATTATTATTTCTGGTGTGTACTCATTTCTTTCCGGGTCCCGCCCAGAGACTTAAGGTCAGAAATGGCGTCATGATATTTTCCACTGAGCAATTAAAGAAAAAAACAAAAACAAAAAAAAACAAAAATAAAAAAAACCACATGTTTTACATAGATAAAGTCCTTCGTAAGGTGTGGGCTGTACTCGTGAGAACAATTATTGTATTTCTTTAAGGCATGGACTACCAGGAATCCCTTCAATGTGTCTATTTGAATCTTTTCCAATCAATCCGAGGGCTCCAACTACAACAGGAATTTTTGATGTTTTCATGTGCCACATTTTTGAAATTTCGATTTCAAGGTCCTTGTATTTTGATATCTTTTTGAAGATGATTATTATTATTATTATTATTATTATTATTTGTGTATGATATGTTTCATGTTTTGTGTCCTGTAGAGCCGGGCCCAAACTATGGTCCTTAGACCCTATAGGAGTATTGTCATTTAATTGATAGCCCTATTTTAGTTCATGGGACACTGGTAGTAAAATTGTCCACATTCGCGCCAACAAATTGAAACTGAGATACAAATATCTGAAGCTCAATAGACCCATCATGATACAATGCCTGATAAATGTATACGAGGCACATGCAGCACAACCAAATTTGTGCGATACGGTGACAGGTTTTGATAAAACATAACAATACAGATGGAGTCCAGTTAGGAATACATCTAGATAATCCAAGCCGGATATATATCCTCCAAAATTCTTACAATATAAAAATATTTTATGGCTTAAAATAAACAGAAAAAGGTTGATAAACCGTGAAAAATAAAAAAAATCATTTACTCAACAAGTTGTATTTTACTTGATTTTGGGAAACGTTTATCGATGTGTTTCATGAATATTTTCCTTTTATTATCCCCCCACCCAATTCTTATAATATAAAATATTTTATAGCTTGACATAACTTGCAAAAGGTTGATAAGTCGTAAAAAACAAATTAGTCAGTCAATCATTAATCCAGTTCGTTCACATGGCCTACCAGTGACGGTGTTCACGAGTAACTAGGATCCCAAGTCGATTTGGATGCCTAGTTTTTCAAAATAGAAAAAAGCCGTCTTGACACCTGTCCGTGATGCCCAGCAACAGTTCCCATTCGTGAAAAAGACTTGGAGAGTGCATGTGGAGGGCATTCGCGAGTGGTTAAAGTTACTTAATTGTTAAGCAAATCTGTAGTTTTAAATGAGATATTTAATATAACCTCTCTTAATTCACCAAAGCTAAAAATTTACATATTATCATCTTCAATCAGTTAAAACCAGAAGTTTTGCGAAACATGAATAGTCAGGCATCAAGGTATTATTTTTATTATTTTATTTCCTTATTTCTGGTGTATACTCACTTCTTTCTGGGTCCCGCCCAGAGACCTAATGTCAGAAATGCCATCATGACATTTTTTACTAAGCAATTAAAAAAAATACACTCATATTTTACATAGATAAAGCCCTTCATAAGGTGTGGGCTGTACTCGTGAGAACATTTTTTTTTTAAGGCATGGGCTTCCAGAAATCCTTTCAATGAATCTATCGGAATTTTTTCCAATCAATCCGAGGGCTCCAACTACAACGGGGATTGTTGATGTTTCCATGCGCCACATTTTTGAGATTTCGATTTCAAGGTCCTTGTATTTTGATAGCTTTTTGAAGATTTTGAAAGTTACATTGCTGTCTACTGGGACTGGCATATCAATAAGGAAAAATATTATTATTATTATTATCATTATTATTATTATTATTATTATTATTATTATTACCTTCTGAATGTATCCTGTTACTGATGTTGTGTTGGTGCTTTAAATACTAGGGAATATACTGCCTGTCAACTCAAAAGGGTCTCAGATACAAAGGACTTTTCCAAGTATTTTCGCTGTACACAATAAGGCATATTTTCTTTCTTTCGAAAAGTGTATGTTGCATCAAGTTGATTGACATTTACTTTAAACTTCAAGGAAATAAAATCAAGTGCTCCAATCGCCACAGGGATGAGTAATATTTCCTTCGTAATTATTATTATTTTTAATTTTGATATGTATATACATTCATCCTTCTTTATTTATTAGATGAAACAATATCTACCATTATTATTAATTTTTACTTAATTCTATTGTTAAGTTTCATTAGAAATTTTTAAGTTCTTTTTTTATTGCAACTTGTATTCAGACCTTCAATCTACAGCAATGAGTGGACAATGAATTTTCCTAAATCAAGAATAAAACAATAACTGAGATTTGTACTGAAGAATAAATTATTTATTAATAAGCATTTAAGAACTGCATAAGTAGTATTTTCGTGAAATTGTATTTGCATTCAAAATAATTAATACTTCACTACCAACTATATGATTAATATATGTTTTTATATACAAATTTATACTTCAACATATAATTCAGTTTTAATATTATTTGTATTAAAACTACAAAAGAACTATATTCGTAATTTATCAAGATTTAATAGTATTTGTATTTAGAAAAATATAGGTAATGTATAATAATTATTTGCATTAAGGACTAATTTTGGAGTGCCTAAGTCGATGCGAATGATTAATTTCGTGTACGCATGCGCACATATGTCTGAACGCGTATTCTTGGAAGTGAAATTGTACTTTTTTACGGATGTATGTTACTGACCCCATTTTAGAGATTCCTCCCTTACTCCTTTGTTAAAGATTCTTTCTTTCTTTCTCTTTCTTCTTTTATTGCAGCCGCCCCCGCAATACTGAATTTGGGCGGTGCCTCTAGTCGGAGGCTGATTAGAAATGATGATAAAGAACAGGTAAAGAAATGTTGAAGTGTAGTGGGAATTGCAAGAACTTGAAGATGGGGATGAAGAAATGGTAGCGGTGGCGGTGGTTGTGGTGGTGGTGGCGGTGGTACTGCTACTGGTGGTAGTGGTGGTGGTGGAAGAAATCGAAGAAGTTGATGATCATCATGTAGATAGAAGTGTGGAAAAAAGATGATGATGTGGCGGAGGAAGATAAATGAAGGAAGGTAAAAGGGGAGGGTAACAAAAAGAAGATAAAGAAGTTGACGATGATGGAAGAAGAAGAAGAAGAAGAGGAGGAGGAGGAGGAAGAAGTTCATGATGATGATGATGATGATGATGATGATGATGATGATGATGGCGATGGCGACCAAGACGACGGCGGAAAATGAATTAAAGAAGTGAAAAAAAATAGGATGAAAACGATTATGTGGGCGCAAGAAAGAAAGAAAGAAAGAAAGAAAGAAAGAAAGGAAGGAAGAAAGAAAGGAAGGAAGAAAGAAAGAAAGAAAGAAAGAAAGAAAGAAAGGAAGGAAGATAGGAATGAGCTAAAGAGAGAAAACCCTATAAAAGAAACAATGAATGAAAAAAAGAGGAAAAGAAAGACAGACTAATCAGGAACATGGAACAAATGAAGAAGAAAAAGAAAGATAAAAAGACCCGCAAAGAACGAATGAAGGAAAGAGAGAAAAAAAGTCGAAAAACACGGAGGAAGGAAATCAAGTAGTAAAAATCGGTTTGATGCCCTGGCCATGTCGAGGGGTGGGGGGATGGGGGAAGGAGTTGTTGATGAGCCACGAGTGAAGACAACTATTTTGGTTATGAAGGAAGTGTAGAAAAACAATGTCGAATTGAAGTTCAATGACATTGAAATGCAAAAAGAAAAGAGAGAAAGGAAAAAAAGAGGACGAGGATGAAGACGAATAGAAAAAAAAAAGATGAAAGACGATGACAATAAATGAAAATGATGAAAAACAACAGGAGGAGGAAGAAGAGGAAGTCGAAAAGATGGAAATACTAAATGAAAAGGTCGAAAGTAAAGAAAGTTGTTAGATGAGTATAGAGAAGTAAAGAGATGTATCTGGAATTAGAAGAAGAAGAAGAAGAAAAAGAAGAAGAAGAAGAAGAAGAAGAAGAAGAAGAACAACAACAACAACAACTACAACAAGAATAAGGAGGAGAAGGCAGTTGTAACCGAAACCAGAAAGCAAGCAATAAGAAAGAAGAAAAATAGTTATAATGGTAGAGAAAGAAAAATAAATGATATAAGAAAAGAAGGAAGGGGTGAATGTAGAAGAAAGAAAGAAAGAAAGAAAGAAAGAAAGAAAGAAAGAAAGAAAGAAAGAAAGAAAGAAAGAAAGAAAGAAAGAAAGAAAGGAAGAAAGGAAGAAAGAAACAAACAAAGAAACAAAGAAAATAAGGAATAGGTGAAAGAAGAAGAAGAAGGGGAGAAGGAGAAAGAAAAGAAGAAGGGGAGGAGGAGAAAGAAAAGAAGAAGGGGAGGAGGAAGAGAAAGAAAAGAAAAAGGACAAGGAGAAGGAGGAGGAGAAGGAAGAAAAGAAAAAAGAGGAGGAGAACAAGAAGGAGGAAAAGAAGAAGGATGAGGAGGAGAAGAAGGAAGAGGATGAGGAGACTGAGGGAATCAAAAATCAAGAAGCTACTCTTGTCTACGATATACAAGTGTCAGCACGATTAAATTATTTCTTTCAGTTTCGCCTCGACACGGTTTTTATTTGGCACGGCACGTTTATTAACTTTGAAATAATCCTTTTTTTTTCCCCTTGCACGATTATTTTGTTGCATGTTTATTAAACTTACATTTTTATTTTGTGAATTGAAAAAATCCCACAGTCATAAGAATTCCAGGTGGCACTTGTAATTGGTAGAAAAGACGAGATAAAAAACGAGTATGTATGGAAAACATCTGGAGGGAAGAGATAGCAGCAGAAGGGGAAAGAAAAGGAAAGAAAGAAGCAAGGATCGAAAAGAGAACGAAACTAAGAAGAAGAAGAAGAAGAAGAAAATGATTATGATTATGAGGAGGAGGAGGCGAAGAAGGTAAAAGGAGTAGAAAGTAGTGGTAGCCAAAACCAGAAGAAAAAAAAAAGAAGAAAAAGATACAAAAAAAGGATGAAAGTTATCTCCTTTCATTATTTCTCCTCTTTCTCGTTTTCTCTCTTTGTTAAAAAATATCCCTCTCTCTCTCTCTCTCGTTCTCCTTAAGAATCTCTCCTTCTCCCCTCTCTCTATCTCTATCTCTCTCTCGCTCTCTCTCTTCTGTCTGGGTCTGCAACGGCTGAAATCAGTCAGCACAAGTTCATTCATAACCACTACACATCGATTCTTGCAAACACATGTCTCTTTCATGCTACAACCGACCACAACCTTACCTTGCCCACCTCCCGCTAACTCCTGCAGCTTCCACATAGAGAGCTGATTACTCACTCATTCACATTCCTGTCACTTCCATGTGTCGGCACCCAACTTCTCCATACCATGACATTACTCCCTCTGTAGATTTCATAAAACATTTCTCTGTCTACAGATTTTAGTTTTGCTATCCGCTTCAATATTTATCGAGTCATCTGAACCCTAAATATTTAACGATTTAGCATACAACAAAAGTAGCCTTTGAATAAAATTAATGTAAACCTGTATATGCAAATGCTTATACATGCTTATACATACATACATACATACATACATACATACATTTCATATATATATATATATATATATATATATATATATATATATATATATATATATATAATTTTAAAACGTCATTTTAGTGGATACCCATATTTAAGTAGACGCTCCGTTTATTTATTAAACCGTACATATATTTTCGTCGACCGGCCTGAATATTGCATAAATTTTATTTTAAAAAATAAGACGCGCTTCACCGACATGTTCTTTTTTTAAATATGTTTTCTGCTTAAGGTTTCTCTTAGAATAAGGTTTGTAATAAAACTTGTAATATTCAGGTTGTTAAACAAAATAAATAAGTTTACAGTTCAATAAATTAACGGAGTTTCTCGTCAAGTATGAATATCCATTAAAAATAAGCTTTAAAATGATAAATTATGACGGAATAATAATATAAAAATTCGTTACTGCGATGTAAGTAAAACAATACGTATATGCTTACAGTGGATTAAAGTTTCATGAAAACACTACAATATGTTTGTTGTTGTCTTACAATTCAAAAGGCAGTAAGAGTCAAAACACACACACACACACACACACACATATATATATATATATATATATATATATATATATATATATATATATATATATATATATATATATATATATATATATATGTATGTATGTATACTCAGTTGTATGGATATGGGTTTGTGATCCTGGGTTTCACGCTTTTTGCGATCATCAGACAAACTGGTTTATTTTTTAAAAATTGGATCTATTTATGCTATATTTGGTGGTGGATGGAAATTTACTTATGTGTTTGTTTGGGATGACACTCTCATATACATAAACACACATACATACAGGTGTACGCATTTTACTTCACACAAACTAAAAATAATAAAGGGTAAAACCCAGGGTCACAAACTCATATCCATACATTTGAATATGTTAGATCTATCACTGATAATGAGCGCCTTCAATAAGTACTGCATATAATATATATATTAATTCTAAAAATATTTATATATATATATATATATATATATATATATATATATATATATATATATATATATATATATATATATTAAAAAAAAGAAATTCAAAAACGTTTTTTCACGTTGTAATGTGGAATTAAAAAAAAAAATATATTGTGCTTTATTTTCCATAATATTTCATAATTCACATTACAACCAAAAACGTTTGCGGTTTCTCTTCTTTTTTTATAGACGCGTTAACTCGTTGGAACTACTATAAACACTTTTTTTATATATATATATATATATATATATATATATATATATATATATATATATATGTAATAAAATCAAACATTATTATAATGGGCATGTCTATAGGAAATAGGCGTGTCTATTTAAATAAGAATTCTTCATTATAATAAACTAAAATAATACTGAGATAAGTAAGAAAAATAAAATCCATTTAGGTATATTTATTTTAATATATTTCTGTTTATACGTTATTTTTATGGCTACAGCTTATTTACATTACATGCTTTGTTCTAATTAAACAGTATTAATTACATTTACCGGTCCCAATGTTCGAGAATTGTCGTAGAAAATACGCGTTCTCTGAGAGGAATCAAACATGTTTCCCATACGGAAACTGTCATATAGCCTGACGTGCTATTTAAGCATTCAGCAATAGAGAATTTCCAGGTGGGTAAAGTCCGAGTTACTACTTATAAACACACATATTCGATATATTTCTCGAAGATTCAGGCTGGTAAATGTGATTAAACTGTTTAATTAAAACAGAGCATTTACTTTAATAAGTTTTATCCATAAATATAATTCGAAAAAATCAAAACAAAACAACAACAATAATAATAATAATAACAACAATTATTGTTATTATTATTGTATATTATATGAGCATTACACAAAACAGAAGCAGTGTTCACACGCCCAAAGGTATTTTGTAAATATTGGCCTTAGAAGGTCGTATTTATATATTAAAATAATATGTACACATTACCATTCTGCATATTTTGTTTTTAAAAAAATCAGCCCTTTTTTTAAACTGAATATAAATGTAAAACGAGAAAATGAAATGATATCCCCTGACGTGTAGACGAAGCGAGTGTTGGAGGGTCCGTCTAGTGGGGTGCTGTAGGTATATAAGATAAATACATATATTTTAAAATGATATAATATTAATATTAATCATATATATATATATATATATATATATATATATATATATATATATATATATATATATATATATGTGTGTGTGTGTGTGTGTGTGTGTGTGTGTGTGTATTTTACGTTCAAGAAAATTTGCTTTTAATACTACGCAAAAAGACAATAGTTAAACATCGGAAAACATAGGGAAAAATTAATTCCTTTAAATAAAATGTGGAAAAAACACTCTTCGTTACATGAAGGTCATAAGACCCGAAACCCAGGTCACAAAAATATGAAAAATAAATTATAATATATATATATATATATTTGAATTCTCGTATACTTGTATTTTGATTGGTCATTTCAGCTCATGTGACAGCGTTTCCCCTTACAAGGGGTGGTTAATTAATTTGAACTTTTTAAAACCTTTATTCTGCAATCTACATTCAACATCATCACTTGATAAGACACCAGAGGTGTTGAAACAAAATGGCTATTTTTGTAGTGATTTTATAAAATATTTATGTTTTAATTTTTAATAAATAATTATATTCTCTGTATCTTTTATGAATAGTAATAGTTGGTTATGGGAATTTATTCCGTATACACCAATCATATACTTGGGTATATATATATATATATATATATATATATATATATATATATATATATATATATATATATATAAGTAATCAGTTGGTATAAACTTCATTAAACAGAGCAAATTTTTTACAATTGAAATTAAGACAATTTTAATAATGACTATTTTAACCTGCAAATTTTAATTTTAAAATTCGCAGGATTTTTCAAATTGTCTAAGCTGATACTATAGACAGTTTGAAAAATTCTGCGAATTTTAAAATTAAAAATAGTAGGTTAAAATGGTTATTTACTAAAGGTATCTTAATTCCAATTCTAAAGTATATATATATATATATATATATATATATATATATATATATATATACACGGAGGGTGAGAGAGTGATAGATATTTTAATTTTAATATAGTTTCTGTTTATACGTTATTCTTATGGAAACAATTTATTTAAATAAATTCTATCTTTTAATTAAACAATACTAATTACATATTCGAGAAATTTCGTAGAAATTATGTTCTCCGAAAAAATGGGTTTAAAGTTAGATTACTGTCCGAGAGCGAATATTTTCTGCGAAGTTTCTCGAACATTCAGTCCGGTAAATGGTGTTTTATTAAAAATAGGCCATCTAAAAATTAAGGTGTAAACAGAGTGAATATATATTTATATAAATTGTCACAGCTAAATGATTCCGCAGACCGATTCCAGATTTTTGTAGTCAAAGGTTTCTTTTAATCTTTCGGTGTATATATATATATATATATATATATATATATATTAAATATATATTCCATCTATATGAGCGTAGTCTTCCAGTTTCTTTAAGTCGCAAAAGCTCCGATAATCATTATTTGAGCTTTTTCGACTTGAAGGCGCACTATGTGATTTCTCATCTTTTGCAAGGCTGCTAGTTATCGAGCATGACCCTCTCATCACGTCTATTTGTATTTCTTGAACACCGACATGGTCAACCTGTGGTTTGATCTGCAATTATGCTGAGCCGACTTTAGCTACAGCTCAAGTATGTGCCCTGCTACGGACATATAAGCCTTTGAATTCAGAGTTCAGTTAGTCAACTCCTATATTGATTGACGACTAGGGCTAGAAAGTCTACTCTCTTCTACTATTTGAAGGATTCATACTTTTCCCAATGCTATTTGTGCGAATGTCTATATAAGGATCTTGGCCGGAGTTCGATTTCGGCGTTTTACATTTCTCGTTCCAACCCTTTACCTGTACCTCTCACCTGTACATCCTATGAGAGCGTAATACTGGTAAAAACAAAATGGCGGTGTTGATATTGAATTTTTCGGCATTTCTACCTAGAACAAGGGTCTGAAATTCAATGATACCAAAAGGCCATTATGTGCTGATGGAGGTGTGCAAAGGACCACAGATCTTGTGAACCAGTTTCCAACCAAGTTGTCCGTGGATTGCCTTTGGTGACAGGCGAACACGGACCCATAAAGTTGAATTAATTAAATTAGTTAATTTTTTTTTTAATTTTGAGCCATAGAACATAGAGTGAAAATGAGAAAGAGCAACAATTCGTATGCATTCCATTCGTTCTTATTATATATATCTTTAGAAAAGGAATTTATTGTAGTGTCTTCTCACTAATGAGGCGATTGTGGACTCTTCCAGTTACTATAAAGTAGTAGAAAAAGTAAGCCGAGGAGGAATGGTGATATATACTCTTCTTCCGAGGCTGTGACTGTTCGCAACTCCTGTCAAACTCTCTGCTTTTGGCAGAGAGGAACCTGGACGGGGCTGTGCCGAAGGACAGAGTTTCATCCGGGGAGGTAGACAGGCCCTGAACCCGTTTATGAGGATTCTAAGGGAATATTTTTGGCCGAGTCTACGGGCTCGGAGAACCCACGATAAACTCGGCCTTGTGCCACATACAACCCACGTGGGGGGGGCGTTAAATATAACGGTGATATATACTGTTCTTCCGAGGCTGTGGCTGTTCGCAGCTACTGTGGAACAGTTTTTGGTAGAGAGGAACCCGGACGAGGCTG